TGTAAATTTAAAAATATTTAGATAAAAATAAGATAACTAAATTTAAAAGAATTTTGCATTACAAATTTTGGTAATAATTGGAATATTTTTGAAGATTATTTAAAAGCAATAAAGATAATGTATTTTTTATTAATATTGTCATTACAAACATTATATATATATATATATATATATATATTTCTAATATATACGTATATTAATAAATTTTTAATTTTTGACATATTATAAAAACATTTAAGGTTTTGATAATTTATACAAATAATGCAAACATACATACAACTATGTGTTAAAGGAACAACCAAAAAAATTAAGCAAAATTTATATATATGTATATATATCATTGTAATAAATAAAAACTAATAATAAAAATATGAGAATTATTTTAAAATACAATTTTACATAAAATTTAATAATTTTATATGATTAATAATTTTCGTGAAATAAACTCATTTAATATTTGAATGCACATGAAATAAAAATTTATTTAAATTGAAAATTTATTTGTTATTGAATAAATAACAATAGTAATTAAAAATTTTGGAAATATTAATAAATCTGTTTGTACTTGTTATTCATAATTATATTTTAAATAACAAAATCATTTTTTACATGAGCTAATTTTTGTTGCATTTTTTACATAAATTATTTATTTTATTTAACGCATATAATGGAAATTTTAATGGAAATAAATGCAACAATTACAGATAAAAATCCATTGAATATAATATAATAGTAACATATTTAAAGTAACATATTTTTGATGATTTATTTTGCATTTATTTTTAATTATTTTTAACAAATTGATGTATTAAAAGAAAAATTTAAGAATATTCAAATCAATATTATAAACGTATTCATTGCAAAAAAACAAAAATATATGTTTTATTTTATTTTATTCTATTAGCATTAAAATCTTCAAATATTTATTATAATCATTTAAAATATAAATTAAATAATTTTCACTTATAAAATTATGATGATAAATAAATCATACATTAATTAAAAAATTAGAAAATTTAAATTTTTAATATGTAATTTATTATACAATATAATGAGATAATGATAATTTAAACTAATAGAATAGATGATGGATAAGTATAAAGTGTTTTTGATCAATTACTTGATCTTGATTAATTGGAATTTTTACAAGGATTTCAATTTAAATATTTAAATTTTAATTTTAATTTTAAATAATTTATGCATTTAAAAAATTAGATATTTTAATTATTTAATAATTTGAATTTTTTTAATTCAAAACATTTAAAATTAGAATTAAATATTTAAATTGAAATCTTTATATAAATTCTACTTGAGTAATTAATCAAAACTAATACATTTATATTTAATTACCCAATGAATCAAATCAGTAATGAATTCATATTTTCAATTTGAAATAGAATTATTTTTCTGTATATTAATTTATTTCTTATGTTATATCATTATTCATTTTCGATATAAATATAACTATCGTAATTATAACTGTAAACAACATAATAAATAAAAATACAAAATAAATCTTAAACAATAATTTTTTATTTTGATATAAGATTTTTTATAAATATTGATAGTTGTCTGATACTTGCCAATCAATAATTGAATGCAATCAATTAAAGTCTTATATTCACTACATGTTTTATATTTAAATATTTTATTTATCAATACTGAATCGATTCGTTGGACGGATTATAAGTTTTTAAAATAGTTATTAAAATATTGATTTGTCAAAAATAATTAAATGTAAAATGCAAAGAATCACCATAAATATTAGCTATATATGCAATGAATTTTTATCTATAATTATTAGAATACTATTGATATATATGGAATACTATGAGAAAAAGGCTCGTACAGTCATTGTAACAGGTTCTCTGCATACTGCACAGGATATCATGCCAGGAGCACATTTTACACACGCAACCATATGTCCACATGGTAAAAATACTACTCCTAATTCTCCATTATAACAAATTTTACACATTCTTGCATCATCTGTAGGTTTACTATTTTGTATTTTTGTATTTGATAAATTTTCTGCACTTTCTTTTACAGATTCTGTATTGCTTGCAATATTTTCTACACCACTATCTTGAGAACTTGATCCTGGATTGCTATCTGTGCCTTCTTTCCTTTCTGTTTCTATATTTGCAGGTTGTATTTTTGTAATATAACTAGGTAAATTCATTTGTATTGTTTCCTGAAATAAGTATAATATTATATAAGTAATTAAATAAATAATAATTGAATTATTAATTATGCATGTAATATAAAATATAATATTTATATTTTTACTTCTTTTGAAGGTGGAGATACATGCTGGCCTGTTATTTTATTCACATAATCTTGTCCTTTAACTGTTAATAAATAATAGCACTTAGAAAACCACTTTGCATGTTGTTCCCAAGGATTATCTTCTGGTTCCCAATCTTTTAAACCACATCCACAATGATAACATATAGTTTGATCACCTTTTCCCGTATAATAAAAACCTGCATCTGCTAATTGTTCTTTTGTTTGTGGCATAGATTTTGGCCATGTTGAAAATGTGTTTAATCTAGCATCATAACTAGCATATTCAGGATGTAGAGGTCCCTTAGGCCTTGTCAAACCTAAACGACTAAGTTTAGCAGTACTTGGTAATTGTAATTCAGTTGAAAAATTATGATTATCAGGACCAGATGTAAGTCGATATTCTAAACCATAAGGACCACATACATCTCTACTTCTTGGTCGTGGTGGGATGATTGTGTTAGGATCTACTCCTATTGGTACATTACCACAATTTATTTTACGAATAAATCTACATCTTGCTGACCATCTTTGATGATCAACCATTGGAATGTCACCTTCTACCCATTGACATATCTCAACTTGACATTCAAAGCATCTAACTTTATCACCTTCACCTGTATAATAAAATCCAGCAGCTGCAAGTTTTTCAGGTTCTATATATGATACAGGCCAATTTTCAAAACTTTGAAGTCTTGCTGCTTCAAAGCGATAATCAATATTATCTACTTCATCATTCAATATATGAGGTGTTATAAGAAGTGGTGATGTTAAATGTGCATTTGTTGAAGTTTTGAGGTTTGAATCATTTCCAAAATCTCTGTGCTTGATAATACCAGTCATCTTATTTTTATTGCCAAATCTATTATATCCAAATCTATTAAAGAAAAATGAAATAATTATTAAATGATATATTGAACAATTGTTATATTATTAATATTATGTTTATAATTATGTAAATTTTATTGGAATTTTATTAATAATTTCTTTTTCTATTATTAATATCTTTTATAATTATAATTTTATTTTATATTGTTTTTTATTTATTTTATAAATAAAATTTCTCTTTCTTTTTATTAATAAAATTAAATTTATTTTCAGTTATATATAACTGTTTATATGAAACATATGGAATGTGTACGTATGAAAAATGTCATATTGAATACACAATTGTTATATATTTATAGAACATTGTTTATATGTCATATTATTTACATTGAAAAAAGTAAAGGAGAAAGGGAAAAATTCTAAACTTGTTAAATGGTTACAATGTTGTTATAATTTGTAATGATAATGTATCGTGAACTTTTCTCAGTACATAACGTTGAAATGATGCAGCCTATATATGCCATATAACTTCGAACTTCCGAGAACTCTCCCTCTTCCTCTATGTATCTGTGTATCTATGGTATGTGTGTGTGCGCGCGCACATGCGTGTGGGCGCATGTCGCCTGCCTTCCTTCTCCTTTCTTCCTTCAGTTTATAAAGACTCATACTGTTCTCCACCCTGTGCAATGTTGCCGCTTTTATGGTATTTTAATTTCTCTTATTGCATTATACTATATGATCATGAGAATGAAGTATCGACAAGGGCGTAACAACTTATATTTTTTATTTTTTAATAATTTTATCTTAAAATTGAATGAATTCATAATAAGATTATAAAAATCTAATTTATATATATATATTATATAGTATAATAAATATATAATAAAGTTTATATAATATATAAT